AGGCCAGGAGATGTTGAGACCGTTATCTCCTCCTTCCCATTCCAGTGACTGGGCTTTGATGCCCCAAATCAGGCATCATCCTCCCACTTGTTGCCTGTCCATGCTTCAAAGCACCAATGAACCCCAGACCACCTTTTGGAGGGACCCTCTGAGAGAACACCAGGTCTGGATACTTTGCAAACAAGCCAAGTGGGTTTTAGGACCTACCTCTGTCCGAAACCCTTTGTACTGGCAGCCCACGCTGATGCCTGTCTTAGTCTATGGTGGTGGGACTGGGATTTGAGGGGCCCATTTACTGCAGAGGCTTTGTGGGGAGCCTGGCAGCTCAGACCAGCAGCTCTGTCCGCCACTGCATGGCCAGAGGAGCAACAACAACTTCTGCCCTTAAACAGCTGCATCCTCTGCAGTATCTCTGGGCTAACTGGGCAGACAGGTTGAAATGGCTTTGGTTCGAATTAGTCACACAGGGAACACAAACAGGCACCAAAACGTCCTTTGAAAACTGGGCTCCCACATGAGATGAAAGGGAGGCGGAACGGCTGTGAGATAGTTTGTACAAGCCTAACTAATGAAGTTTTCACACTACAAATATGACCCAGGAACAAGTCATTATTTTTCAGAGCAGCATCTAGTCTTCGTGTTTACTTACGGCCATGCAAACTATCTGTCAGGAAGAGCATGCTCTGGCAGAGGTGGGAGGGAGATCCACCTTGGATGTCCAATCCAGACTTACCAATAACCCCTCTCTCGACAGCAACATCTCCTTCCAGTCCACCAGCAACAGACCCCAGCCTCTCCAGCACTTCCCACGGAATGCCAGTCCTCAAAAGGAGAACGTAGCTGGAAGGAGGTGGGCGTCAGTGGTCTGTCTGTCAGCAGTTCATCCGGCTGAATACAAATAGGGAAATTCTTTGGGTCCAGGAGGAGAACGAAGGAAACCCAAGACTGACACCAGTCTGAAAAGCGACGAGGGACTCCTCGTTAGGAAAATAACAGACCAGTCCGTCCAGGGTAGGGCTGCAGATCTGGGACAGAAAGAGGACAGGTAGGAGAAATACTCACCATGCTGACAGGGAAATTGGGCCCACACGGAAAACAAATCTTCCCTGGAATCAATCAGCTCTGGTCATGCCTGACTGGAGCTGATGTTTCTAATATATTTTTTTTTTATTAGATTATTGCTGCTTTTCCTTCTCTGGACTCGCTCTGTGTTTTGTTTTACTTGCGTGACTTCTGCCATTATACAAACTTAACGTAACAAATTTTTTTTGTCTTATGCTTGGCAAATTGTGCAACACACTTCACTGGGGCCACAGAGCTCCAAACTGATGAGACAGGCAAGGACATGAAAACGAGGGCAAGAGAAACCCCATCGTGTTCGCTTCAAGCCCTGCCATCAGAGCCGCTCTGCTGAAAAGTGACCTGCAACTGCAGGTTAGGACAAACTGTGGTTTCCGTATTTATAAAGGAAAAGCCTTTATAAAGCAATAGCCAAGATCTTGGACCTATTAACTGGTTTCCTATTGCCTTTCTGGGCATGGTTGAAATTTCTGCCATTAAAAGTGGTTTTTATTTGGAGGTGGTGGTGGGAGAAGTCTCTTTTTTTTATTACACTAGGCCAAAAATCCCAAACCTGCTCCTGGTCCCCTTCATTATCCCAACCTAAACCAGTTACCTCTCTCCCCCAAGGTGAGTATATACATATATACATGCTAAAATGCCAAAATAATCAGGGGCCAATTTGTAAGTACTAAACCCCCCAGTTTTACAGGTATGCTATGTTCTACTAAAAGGAGACTGCAGCAGGCTGGAGCCCCTCACGTGTCCTACTCAGCCATTTCTTCACTGTCACATCACTCAGCGCTTTAGTTTTCTGTCTCGCTTCACTACTTAGGTTTTTCATTAAAGTTAATGCTTCCTTACTAGCCCAGTTCCTTCCACAAAAGTAAACACAAGAATAACATCATGGAACCAGCACGTAGGGGTGGTGCTGCCGACTATAAACGGTTTGCATACAGCTTGTGCATCCAAACAGCACCCCTTGTGCAGAGGGAAATCGCTATTATCAGATGCACTGATACAGCTGGAAAAACACGCTTTTGAACATGCAGGTCCCTCTCAGATTTAACACGTCACACAAATAAGGTGCCCCTTCCTACCCCGATACGCTTCATGTATCTGTTTGCAATACCTCCTCCCGCCCCCTGGGTCTGTCCACGCTCTCTGCCAGTGTTGTCAGCGCAACGCCTGTCGCTGCCGAGCCCGGGTCCTGGCCAGAGCTGCGGTACTGCGAACGTTAACGAACGTCATTAACAAGCAACACGTGGTGCAGGTGTTCATGGGTGAAAAGCTGTTGCAATCTGACCGACCTGGCGGTGTGTTGTGCTGGAACAAGCACAAATCGATTCTAACACACTTTTTAGCTGCACGGAAAAAAACAGACAAGTTGTTTTCTTTTCTTTGATTGCCACTCACACAAATCCTTCTGTCAAGGACTTAAAACCACACTCGTAGCCTTTTTGTAAGAAGTTCCCATTAACCAAGTTACAAACAAAAGTGCAGAAAAAATTGAACAAGCAGACAGGACAGAAAAGTTGAACGAGCATTGGCTCTTCTTATTTTAATGAAGAAATATTTCAAGTTAATATCAGTGCATATTTAGAAATAGCAAGTGATACTCCCAACGCCAAACACATCAGCAAATTACAGTTTCAAAACTTTATAAATTAATGCCAAGAAAAAAAAATAATTAACATAAAGAATAAGGTTCAAAATAAACATCCTGTTTGTTTGTTGTACTGTAACAATTATATTCCTGGTACCTAAACAGCAAGAGAGATCCAGTATTTTGTGGTAATTAGGCTCTCCCAAATAGCAGTTATTTTTCTACAAATGAATTAAGCAGTTTGCATTATTTTTTGATGTATAATTAAATGTTATTCTCTGCTGTTACAAAGAAATTTAGTCATGTCAGAGTAAAATTTCATTCCATGACTGAAAAGTCACACTAAGACAGGACCGCTGCCTTCTGGTTATACCCACTGGAAACAGTCAGCTGAGAATAGGAAGAACTACATGTGAGCATATTTGGCTGTTACATAAAATGGCTTCTTTTTTTCTGGTTTCGCAGCCTCATAACAATACTGTTTTTCAACATTGTTCCCAGTCATTGTTTTTAAAATGGTTCATCAACATATCCTGAATCAATCACCGATATAAATAACTCCAGTGACAAAATCCATTATGGAAGGACACAGAACTGCAAACTGAAAGTTGTACCGAATGATTTTAAGGTGGAACTGTAATTACTCTATAAAATTCTGTAAAAAAATACACCACACAGGAAAAGCACTATCTTCAATTAACTGGCAATGGTGGAATCTGAAAAACTGAGTTGTAACTTTAAGAGACATTTAACTCACAATGGACTCTAATGCAAGACGTATCGTACTGAAGCTAGAGAGATGCACATTTAAAGCTTGCAAGTGAGATATAAAAATATTCTCTAGTTCTTTCATTTTGATACAGGGAGTCCAGTTCCCTAATGGAAGAAGATAAAATACATCCTCTTTCCTGCCCCACCGCTGTACATATAGACTATTCCCCTGGTATCAGGAAATGGCATTTCCCCAACAAAAATACCAGCCATGGGAATCGCAGACTTTCTGGCAGTAAGGGTTTGTGGATTTTGCTATTCAAAGTGTATTTTCAAGCAGGTGAAGTACTGATAGGATACGCATTTCTTTCACTATTAGTCGACCGTGCAAATTGTATACATCAACCCTGTACCTTCAATCCAGCTGCAGTCTGCATCGCCTAGAATGACTGGAGAATCGACTGTGATGCTACAGCACAGAGACGACGGCCAGATTATGAAACATGAGGCTAAGTCAGACTAGTAGGAAAAGGCACATGCTTCGGATTTAGCAGGAACATCTGAAGGTTCCTCGTTACCGTACCCTTACGCTCCTGAAGTCACAGTAATTCTGTGTGTTACCCAAACGGCAGAGTTTGCTTCACAGAATCACAGAACGGTTGGGGTCGGAAGGGACCTCTGGAGATCATCCAGTCCAACCCCCCTGCCAGAGCAGGTTTGCCCAGAGCAGGTTGCACAGGACTGCGTCCAGGAGGAGGGTTTTGAATATCTCCAGGACAGGAGACTCCACAACCTCCCTGGGCAGCCTGTTCCAGTGCTCTCAGTGCTTCCAGAAAATTGTGAGGTAACAGGAAACTTCTGCTTATGGCACACGTACACATGAAGGGTCTGTGAGCTCAGCTGAAACTCTCGAGGTGCTCGGGACAACGCAGACACAAGGTAGGCTACAGTCTGGTTAGGCCAGAAACAAAAACTTAACATTTCATTATACTGCATACATTCCTTTTATGCACAAATACAGGGTGCGTGAAATAAGCCGTTTGCTCAGTAAAATTTAATGTTTTGTGTATGTAAAATAATCAGCTAATACTGTGATATAATAAAAAATCATGCACTAGATAAACAGAGCTTCTTCCCCATGAACAGTAGTTCTCAGGAACGTTTTATTCTGCTTCAGGTAACATTTCATGATTTGCCAGCTTACATAGTCCCTTTTAAAGAATACAGGATTTAGCTAAAACTGAAAAGCAAAATTAAAAAGGAAAGAAAGAAAAGTTTTGATTTTAGTTGCGATATAGCTGGGATAGACGCAACTGAGCTGCTGCAATGCACCACAGAGTAACGAAAATTCAACATGAATATCAGAAGAATAAATATATACCCTAAATTAATCTCTGTAAATACATTCACAGGTCCACTTAAGACACCCTTATGCATAACTCATACTTCATCGAATCTGCAGATAAAGATGGATGTTAGTTCATGGGGAAAGCAATTTATCCTATGACTCAGTTTATCTGTCATTATTCCAGCAAAAATCAGTAGCAAATTGGAAAAATCTACATTTATTTTCCCCAGACCAACCACACAGAGGCTTAAGTCACAAATTCTATTATTTCCAATGTTCGATCAATAAGGCTTTTATTTACACTTACTATAAAGTCAGGAAAAAGTTTGGTGCAATGTGCAAGAAAAGACTGCACATTTCACTGATTGGAGACTATCATCTGCTTACGGTTTAATGCTAACCCACAGGCAGCCAATTAAAGTCCCATATATCCATGTTTTTACATAAAGTTTCCTTCCAGATTCTGTCAGAAGCATACTAGCAGTCAGGCCACCTAAAAACAGCAAAGATGGCAAAGTTTTCTTGAGGCTTAGCTTGGAATGAACGCTTTTCCCAGGGAACTTATTTCTTCTTTTGGAATCCTTTGCATCGTAAAACTCTATTAGTAACCTACAAGCAGACAAAAGGAGATGGTAGAAGTTATACATTAGCCTAAGTAGTTTTAAGCAACTTACTTTCATCCAATGCCTACTTCTAATCACACATTATTTAACAAATTATTTCAACAATATGTACCAGCTCGTCTGTCACAAGTTGAAACAATCAGTATGCCTTAAGAACACGATGCATTCAAAGTAACACCGAGTACTCCGCCTGAACCCTTGTAAGCCGTAAGAGCAGATTTTCCTTGGGGACCAATTTTAACATTGAATATAAAAGTTGAAAAGAATCCTTTTCATTCAGCATTTGGCAGATAATCCCACAGTACTGGGCAACACCGTTGGACAAAATATCACACAGTTAATCACTGAACACCAAAGGAGGGAGAAATAGTATCTTCATCAAATAAACTAATAAATAACGAGGGCTCATGAGACACTAAATATTTTGAAAGCCCAATGTGCAAGAGTAAAATGCTACACTGCTGGTTTAGTAGTATAATTTCTCCTCCTATTTTTGAAAACCAGTATTAAATGGACTTGAAAATTCTGGGGTTTTGTTTTAAGCATCTCTAAATTCGCCTGACAGATGCCTTTGGTCACAGGAAAGATGTTCCAGTCCACAGGAGTCTACAGTGACACATAGATCATCGGGGTTCAGTTTTGCTGGCCTTCACCAGAAGACTACTTAGGGGACACTGGACAGCCTTTTATTTTATGTATCAGTTCTTTGTCTATAAAATGAAATTCAGACTTTCTTCCTCTCAAAGGTGAAGAAAAGAAAAATTACTTAATGATCCTAAACTTTAAAGAGACTTTAATAACAGTGCCATGTTTACAGACAGTCATGTTAACTTTTAGATGGATTCAAAGATCACGGGACAAATTAATTTGTTTTTTACTTCTATGGAGTGTGAGACTGGCAGAACAATTTTAAAGCAGAACATACCTGAAGAAGCAGAGAAATTTCTCTCCCACACAATGCATTCAAGGATTTAGAAAGTAAAGAGATCCGGCTCCCTTAAGCTGGACTTCAGACGTGGCAAATTAAACCATCATCTCTCAAACAATACCTAAATCCCACATTTAGGCACAAAGTCCTTCCAGAGCACAAGGCTCTCCAGGATCTCTGGCAAACGCCCCCTAGTGACCTTATCTGGAGGTGCTGGAGGGAGCCAGGCGCTTTAGTTCTGCCACGATTCAAAGATGGACAGACACAACTTCCACTTCACCCAATTTCCCCAGTGAAGGCAGGGTCTCAGGTTACTTGTGGTTTTATCCCACAGCTGTCTGATGGAAGATGCATAAACAATTTTGGCAGAAGAGGTTAGATAAAGGCCTGCCCCTTTCTAACTCTAACCTAACACTGGTTACGAGGCCAGAATCAAACTGCTTTTTGCTTGCTTGCCTGCTGCAGGCATCTTACATTCCCGGCTGTGCATGACTCGGCTATGAGAAGATACATGGAGAGTATTCAGACGAACGTGAGTCTTGCTTGGAACACAGACTCACAGCACTTCAGTCTAAAGCAGGTCTAAAACTCAGGAATCCCAGCCTCCTGAGAAAAAGGTTTAACCACAAGGTTATTATACAAAGCATGCACAGGAGCACCAACACCACCTCTTCAAACAAAGTTCTGCATATTGCTACTCACTTATCCTTTATTTCAAAACGTTCATGAAGCCACCTTCTCATATACATCTGCTCTTCTGGAATGTCCTTCAGTTCAATTCGATCAATGAAAATATGAACTCTTGGGCATTCCTTGCAAAGAAACTCTACAAAGAGAGCAAAACAACAGGACTGAGTTACAAACCACTGTAGGGCATTTGTCTAAAACACACTGAAAATCTGACCTTGTAGCTGTTAAGCGCCTTGGAAGCCTAACTGCTCGAAAGCCTCCCGTCTTTATGTTTGATCCTGGGCACTTCACTTAGAAGCCATCTGGCCTACACACTTTTGAAATGGTGGCCCATTTCCATCACGTGCAGCATGGAAAAACTGTTCTAAAATGCACCCTGCTAACTGTAAAATGCTGTGATTGAAAATGTTACACTTCTACCTCAGCAGCAATCTACTCGTTCTGTAGTGCAGGGATGCAGTTAACTTTGATGTCATCAAGTTATCCAGCCTGCAGTTTTGATTAAAGTTTGTAATCCTCTTTGCTTGTCCTTTTTGCTGCTGGATGACAAATCAGAATTACAGTGATCTCTCAAAGTACCTCCAGGAGGAAGTGGGCTTCAGTTTAAGTAATAACCTATAATTAAAAAGTGTAACAGGGCAAAAGACTCAGAACAAAATCCTGCTTTTCGTTTTGCATCCCTTAATTTTTCTTCCGTCTTACAAAGCTTGAGACAAACCTACTGCAACCCTCCTTCCCCATTTCCTCTATTTGTCCCTAGAAAAATTTAGCAAGCAAGCGTTAATTACACACAGAACTCCATTACTCAAACAGCCTTGTGGGATTTCTTGCAACTAACAAGTGGCAAAAATACTGCACATGGGATGAAAAGCCCACCGGTATCTATGTATTAGTAATCATTTGCATTTATCAGTGGCAAGGGGTATTGCAGTAACCGTAGTAACCCTGTAGAGATATGCACGATGTGAGGATGGAAGTCCTTAGAAATTTGGACAATCTTCATATTTTGAAAAGGGACCAGAGCTGCCTTCCTACAACACAGACAGGCAACAAATGTAACAGACTGGGCGGTCCCTTTAGGTTGTTGACATTTTTTGGACAGCAGCGGAGATGTACAGAAGACTTCGCCCCATAACTATTAGGGGTATCTTGAGGAATGACTGTCCAAAATAATTGTTACTGCATGTACAACTTTATTATTGTTTCCCAAAGCAGATATCCTCCAATTTGTTTTCCTTCTTTACAGGATTATTGATTTTTAGGGACTTTGCTATAAAAGCAATCCTTACCATAAACTAGCAATTGCCCTAAGGCATCTTAAAAGCCTGCTCATGCAAATGTGTTTGTGTGCTTGCAGAGGGGGAGGGAAGGAGAAGAGACAACGAGATCAGTAAAGTCTTGCAGCATTTTGATGCAGAAATTTCCAAGGTGCTGGGTGCAGCTTTATCTAGTCCTCAGGCAAAGACGGCCCTTCACCGAACCGCACGGTAGCGTAAAGGGAGCAACACGGCCCACACATCATCAACTGAAGAAATGGCCGAGGGCTCCATCCAGAAACAAACCCAGCTCCTGGCCATGGGGCAGCAAACACAACTGTTGCTTAAAACTTTCTGGTAAAACTGTCTCCTAGCTACAGCTATTAAATGGCAGGCAAGTCCAGAGTGATGGTACGTATAGACGTTGTCTTCAGGTTTTTATGTGCAATGCTTTTACTAACCACAAAGAAATCAGTGTTCAGGTATCTGAAAGCAGGTTTTTCCTCTTGCTTTTAATGGGAAGAAAAGATTTTCCAGGTCTGTTTCTCTGAGGACACTATCCAGGCCACTGTACGAAGGTCATTCACTATATGACCACCTAAAAGCACACTATTAACATTTTACAATGACAGACATATTATCCATGTCTTAAATGCTTATAATGTTCACTGATGTACAAATCCTCTTTTTGAGCGGCATTAACAGTCTAAAAATATGCAAAACTCTAGGAAACAAATGCCTGGAAGCCAGATGATACAGTCTTTTTTGTACTCAACTCCTGTAAAAAGCATCTATGCTATGCATATTCAGCTAGGGCTGAAGATCTAGCTTTAAAAGATATTTCAAACAGTCTGTGCATTGTACAGCGTAGGTTTCTTTTGCTTCATAGTACACAGGTGGTTCTGTATAGGAACAAACAACTCTTTCTGATGTTATTCATAGTCTCCGTTATAAATTATTAAGGAAAATTATAAACCAAGCAAAATTCTAATACATATATAATGTTATGCTACTTTTAAAAATATTGATATTTGGTCATTTAAAGACAGCAACAGAGTACATTATCAACAATAAGCACTAGTTAACAAAACAGGAATAAGACGTAAGTATTTCAAAAGAAACACCTTCCCCCACCAAAGCTGAAATGTAGCAACTCTACAAATCCGCTTAGAAACCAAAAGACCCTCCACAAATATCTAGGTGTTGCTGCTGCTTTTCTACCTTATGCCCAAGTTCCAGTGCAAGTTGTTTCTTGCTACTTCCCACACCGGTCTTCTTCAACCAGTCTAAATTCAGGCCCCATATGTGAAGATCCTAAAACTTTGTCTTAATTTCCCGCCTTTGTAAATCCTAATGCTCGTATCTCCACAGCCTTCCTGCCCCTTGCAGTCTGAGACTTAGTACAGCCTCACCAAAGGCCATGTGATGTGCAGCTCAGGTGCTCCCCTAGAAAAGATCACAATTCCCACCCACTGATTCCAGGCCATTTTATCCAAAGCCTGGGCATCCAGGACATCTGCAGATGACATTGTAATGCACATGATCAAGCTAGTCAGGGAATCTGACTAGTCTTTAATTCTGCAATTCACGTCAGGGTTTAATGCAACTAATCCTTTTTTTTTTTTTTTTTTTTTCAGATGCACAACATCACTGCAATCACACAAGAACACTAGTGGATAAGAACAATATATTGAGAGGTTGTTTTTGAGAAGAAACAGCTGGATTTTATAACCACAACCTCTAAAGGTTTGTGGTGGTCCCATGACCCTTAATTTCACATTAGCTTAACTCCCAAAAGACTTATGTAATTAAGCTGAGAAACAAAATCTTCTTGAAGCCATTTATTATGTGCAAATTACATCCAACTTCAGGGACACTACCCCTTAAGGCCAACATCTGACAGGCTTTTCAGATCCCTAAACTTGCCAGAATTTGTTGTAATTAACAGCAGGAACAAACAAACCTGAACTTCTGTTCAAAAGACAAAACCTAAGTGCAAATCATGCACTATAATCAAACATTATATTGGGGACAGCATTAGTCAATCAAGAACTGAATATGATTTGGGTTAAATGAACATTAGCAACTTGTATGGGAGCCAAGTGGACCGACTTTTGTGTGGGAGATAATTTCCTAATAGAACTGTCTATCTGGCTAAATAACAGATAAAAGAGCAGAATGTTTATAACACTTCTAGTGACCAACCACAGCAGAAGGAAGGAACTGAAAATAAGGTGGACTGAGCATTTTTTTCTTCTTAAATTGTGACACTGTGGCCCTCCTGCTGCGGCACAGGGTTACAGTAACACAGGACTGAAGGATTCTGTGTAGAATGAGGATTAATGAACAGGATGCAATAGCCTACAAGCAAGGAATTGGATCCACAGAGTTTTTAATTGCAAATGAATGTTTTGGAAGGGTGTTTTGCTCTCTAAGGCTTCCACTTTCAACTCCTCACCTTCAAAAGCCAATTAATTCTGTTCTGAATTATCAGCATTATCAGGGAAAGTGAGGGAAGGAGAGAAGCTCCAAAGCACAGACATACCTGTAACTGAGAAGGAACATGCAAATGGCCTCAGACCACCTTCCCCTTAATGCTACCATGGAAGTTCATTGCACCACTCCAAATTATTGCCTTGCCCCTTAAGAAAGTTCTGGCCTTACACTTCTGGCGTTACACTTAAAACAGATATTCCAGTTTTCAATTACTAATGAAGTCTATTTTTATACGCACTTTAAATACAACAGCAATAAAGTAGCTCAGATTTCAACCTCCTACATTGGCTCTTTTACTGCAATGTAATTATTGCCAAAGTCCTTCAAAATTAAGAAAGGACAAACTCAAGTGTCCACTTAAAGTGCCCCGAATTCTCTGCTGTTTTAACAGACTGCAGTCATGTTTGTGATAAATTGAAAGTGATATCACAGGAAACTGAAATCTGAATAATGTGTATTTGTTCTATGTAACTAAGTATTTCAAATGTGGATGAATACGTCTCTTCAGCAACAGAACAGTACGTGTTGTGGTGCGTATAGTTTTACAGGCAAAACCATGCTAGCAAAGACATTCCTCTCTACTGTGGATGGTTTCTCCACTTTTTAAATTCTCACTAGTCTGTACTTCAGTGTTCAGCTACCAAAGCAGTTTGTAAACTATCTCCCTCCTCCTCAAAGAAAGAGATCCCAACTCTTCACTTTCATTTGCTTCACACACCAAATTAACAATCGATTGGCAAAACAAACCTAAATTTAAGTGCTGTGCTGTTTCTTGGCTTCGCGCTTTCCATCACCTCAAGCTGAGCTGACAGGCAACTATTTCACAGCTTGCTCTAACAAAGTAAGGCAGTGGTACAGCAAAGCAGCGCTAGACGGGAAAGGAAACATCCAGGGAACAGCGAAGGTTGTTCAGATGGGTTAACGTGGGGAGCAGTGGAGGAGCGGGCAGGGCCAGTACCTGCTGGTACTGCTGATGTAGGGGAGCACGGAGGGGATGTGCAGACTGAAGCTTCCAGCCAGGAGACAAGCCCGGGACCTGAGGAACAGGCGCTGTCAGAAATACTGCCAATCCCCTGCGCAAGGCCCGAGATGCACACAGAGATCAGAGCCTCCACGCGTGCACGGGGAGCACAGCGTGGGGAATAAGCACCTTAGGAGCTGGGGGACCTTTGGAGAGGAGAAATGGGATGCACCTGAATCATTATCAAGCCAGCATGCTGGCAATGGAAACTGAAAAAGCTGAGAGAGCATTTCAACTGCCAATCAGGGAAAGCTGAAGGTCAGCAAAAGCAACCTATTCAGATGGATGAGGTGGATGGGGCTAAAATTCAATGTGAGGGCAAAACTCAGAAATGCCTCCGTACCAACATGAGGAGCCTCAACA